TGGCTTGTAAAAGAAGGGCGTTAAATTCATTATTACGGTGCTTATTTGAGATAGTTTACATGATTAGCTTTATTCCTATAGAATGCTAATATATCAGTAATTACATTGCCATCCTTTTCATTTCCGTATCGATTTGATTTAAATTTAATAATGGGATCTGGTGTAGCCAATATAATAACGTATATGTAAATATTCTTATTGTATGTTGTTTGTAATTAGTCGAGTGTGATATTGAAATTAAACCGATTGATGTTTATATAACAAACTTGTTCTAATGATTATAACTATATGTAAATAGACAACAAAGCTGTCTAGAACTGTAAACAGGACGTTATAGGGACATCATACCAGGTATTTTACGTCATAGATCTATCTTGTTTTTTTTAATTATCACAAATTAAATGCAACTATTTAAGATCGTGTTTTTGTCAATTGCATTATGATTATATAGTTATTTATTTAAAAGTTTCAAAATGACATACAAACCCAGTTTCCAGGACAAAAAGCGGACGGGCTTTACTCACTTCGTTTTTCCAGAATAATTATTCAAATTGTAAATAATGACCAAAATGAAAATCGTTTAAACGCTTTTCACTTAAATGGAACTAAAAATATAAAAATATGATTTTCAATTTATTGCAAAATATATTTCTAAACTATCAATTCATATATTTCTGTTTAAAGTGCCCAAGCTAATTTATGAAATATATTAAATGTTTAAACCTCAGTGGAGTTCCTTTAAACATGCGCTTAAATTAAATCTTAGATACAGTTTCAATTGCTTAACATTTTACAGGAATGTTCGGGCTTATATATTTCAACCAAATGAAAAAGAATATTGAAGGCAAGGAATGTCGTTCTTAAGCGAGAATGAGTACAAGTTTTCATGACACGGTAGCCATTAACCATTCCGCTCGCTTGAGCCAAGTGGGCACTACTAGTCACATCATGTTCTAAGTCTTATTAAACAACGGCTACAAACGATGCCGTTGAAGTTTATTTTTGTACACGCAGTGCAATTTTATCAAATGTAACCATATAATTTCCACTATAATCCCAGCCCGATAAACAGAACTTAGAGTTGCGTTTCGTTGAAAATCGTAAGTCTAAGTCTGAGACAGTTCTGGGATTCAAAGAAAATGTCCTTACCTATGACTCCTATATTAATACTTGTTCAATTTCATAATAGCAATGTAGATAAGCATGAACAGATTGTAGGTAAAAGTGTGTGCCAGTGTCCGTATCTCTTAAGTTAGGAGATTAAAAGCAATTAATGCAAATGTCTTTAACTTAATAAAAAAATTTGAGCCGCTTCATTACAAAACCAACATAATGGGTTTGCGACCAGCATGGATCTAGACCAGCCTGCGCATCCGTGCAGGCTGATCAGGATCCATGCTGCTCGCTTACAAACCCGATTACAAGTAGAGAAATGCGGATGCGCAGTCTGGTTTGGATCCATGCTCGTCGCAAACCCATTATATTGGTTTTGTCATGGCGCGGCTCATTTATTGAAATGGTCTTCAGCCCTATTGGTCATCAGCCCTGGGACTTTCTATGAAACACAGATCAGATCTAAAATACAAGCTTAATCCATTAAAATATTAAATCTAAATGGACATTCGTCAATGTAGTATTTTGTTCGGATCGTCTCAATGTATATGCAATGCACAGTTGAACATTCCTTCGTAGCCATTTTATGCGTCTTGTGTTTTAAGTGATCATTACCTCTTTTGACTCTATACATGTATAATGCAGTGAATAAAAACGCTAATTTGAAACAGGCTATTTAGCTAACCTCCTGGAAACTTTTCATTTTTTATCCAGCTAAACTTATTTATTTCAAAATATAACGTACTGCCCCACAGCGTAAAAAATGATTTCGAAGACTTTAAAATTTTGCATTTATGTCTCTTTAACTTGTTTTAAAATTAAATCTAAATCTATGAAAAAAGAATACTTCGATTAAAAAGCATAGAAAAAACAAATTCAAATCCCTGCATATGACCATTTTGTTTCTTATGAATGAAAATTATTGAAATAAAAACAGAACTTTATTTTAAGCCCTTCAGTCTTGTGCATTAAAGGCCCAATATGCCTCACATCATTTTATTTCTCAAAATCTTTGTTATCTTGTTACAGTTTAAACAAACTTGTTCACCATATAGATGAACTATCATTTGCTTCTTTTGCTCTGTTGGCTATGGATAGAACTATAGTGAATTAGTTTTTGTATAAGAGTGAAAATACTACATTGTTTATGAGCCAGTTACACAGACGGTCGGTATCCAATCGGTCATTTAATTTCAATTTACTCACTGTTATGATCGGTTGTCATGCGAAATTTTATTTCTGGTTTTCTGTGTAAACGGCCATCGGTGACAGAAAGCAAACTCAAACAGGGTTGGATCAATGATAAAAATGCTGAAATACTTTCGGTTTCTATCGTTTGTATTCGGACCTAAATCGGGCGTAACGCTAATTTATCGGTGTTTGATTGTTAGCTAGTCATCAATGGTTGAACACTTTCCGTCAGATATGGACGATGATTCATATTTCCCCTATCGTATTGTTATTGTTCCGGTCTAAACAAACAGAGGCACTTTTTGCGCCTTATTTAGAACCTGATTTTGTTTCAAATTCATAGTCGTAAATTTATCCAGCATTTGGACAACCGACAGTGAACATGTGAGAAAAAAAAACAACATTTAATAGATCAAAATCAAAGATTTTTTTTGGAGGAATTATGTGTAAGATTTGTGTGTTCCTTATTTTCTATCACAAGTGTTGTGTATGTACAAAGCAGTTTATAAGATAATTAAATGTAATAAAGTTATGTATTTTATATGACATATGGTGATTTGTATATTTTGTTGATTAATTCGCTTGTATGGTCATTTATTTCCATATTGCTTACAATATTTTAAACATTAAAGTTATAACTTTTTGATTTTGTTATTTATTTAACGATATGTCATGCATAATGTTTTGTGATCACGTTGTCCAACGGGGAAAATTTGTGGGGACGTAAAGCAGCTAAAACATTGGTATGAATAAATAGCTTAGATATTTAAACTATCGCTTGCTTGTCGCCTTTATGCCTTTCTTAAATTCTAATTAATAGACAAAATGAAAAATTTGGGCTGAAAAATTCACGCTGTAAACTTTCTTTAAGTATACCGATGGTATTTTACGTATACAGTCTGAATTTTAGACACTGGCTAAACCTCGCAAATTGGCTTTTAATAAAATGCATCGGTGCCAAGAGAATATTAAGAGACATAATTATTAAATGTTGCAGCATGGCATAGGCGAGTGGTGAACTAATTATCTTAAGATTGCTGACCGTGCAGGTTCCAATCCAATTTGTTTACTTGAGCAGAAACCTTTACAATGGTTTTTTTCCAGAAATAGATTTTAGAGTTCGATTATAAGCTTACAGCTAAATACACAATCGAGCTAATAAATTATGTTTAAACTAAACCAAGATAAGTGAAAAATCGAGCTAATAAATCATGTTTAAACCGAGATAAGTGAAAATTTAATAACAGGTTAAGATGATTAACACTAGCAACTTCTATTGTCCATGTGCCTAAGGTGGACAACCTTGAAACAATTTCCTGTCGCCTCCGTGGCTTGGTAACAACCAGGGACTATAAATTATTCGTGTGAATTATTTATCGATCTTACGGAATTTTCAACAGAAGGAAACTATGTTCAAATATACAATGAGTAATTGAAAACATCATATTTAAAAAAAGATATAATACTTAAGTAATTCTAGAATTTTATTTAAAAAAACATGGTAGAAATACATGTATAGTCTAGTGTGACGCCGAATACCTGAAAGAATGTTTCCACTGTGTGATATATACACTGGTTTATCTATCACATATACTATAATCTCCGTATACAGAAATGAGCAGCATTCATAATAAAAATCAAATTATTTTTATTTATACTTTGGGTACAAACAAAATGCTATCTTAACAACAGAGATTGAATTCAAGTGTCTTTAAATGTACTTTTTTCTTTTCAAAATATAAACCATAAATTTGACATTTGTTTGGTCCTTTGTTTGTCCGGAATTTGCACTTGTTTTGAAAGTCAAATGAAACATAAATAAGCAGAGACTCGTCGTCTTGTCGCGATATTCAAATGCATGTTACACACTTTATATGTTTTTATTTTCTTCCTGAAAAGAAAGCCTTTTCTCTGTTTCATTCTATCCACAGTTTCGGGTGTAATAGTTTGCTCCTTGGTTAATAATGAACGATGCTGGATATTCAATAGGTGTGCTTGGTCTTAGTCTACACAATCCTGTCACCGGCTTATGACCAATGCTTCTACATGCACTTGTTTCTGAACAAATTGCTTTGCACATTTCTAGAGAAAGATCGGAATAAGAGGCTAATGCGACTTCGCTAAATATCCTATCACGATATTCTATATACGTGACGCCATAGAGTGTACAGTCTGAAAAAGAAACGACTGTGACAATAAAGTAATTAAATGTTCCGTCACTGCAACTACAATGTACTGCTACCATCTAATAAATAGAATTAACGATTGTTTATAATTTTAATAATAGTATAACAAATACAATTACTCTGAGTCGATTATGCAGGTATAGATATAAGTTTATTTTTATTATAATATTTCACTTTCCAATTATATAAATATGCACTAGGTCAGAAATACGCTGTTGTTTCCTTATGTATGCTTATAATGAATTCAAATTTTACCTAAACTTAACCTTAAATATAAGATTTCATACCCGTATTCTAAGCCTCAAAATATAGAAAATATGCCTTCCCTTATTTCACTAATTTTCAGTCTTGTAGATGTATGGATATTGTTACATATATAATATATAATGAACATCGACATCTTCAAACAAAATCTTGATACTACATCTTAACTACATGTACCGTATAAGCTCTCTGATTAAGTTATAGGACTGAATTCATTGCTTATTTCAGACGATACTTTTAACTAACAACAAAATAAATTATATTACTTGTCACACAGAAACCTGTTGTCCGGTTATACTTAAAGCCAGGCTGGCAAGAACACACGCCTTCCAGACACATGCTGTTTGTCATCATACATTCAGAAACGTTGCACTTTGTACCATAACCTCCATAATCTAAGTAAAGAGAAAACATTATGGGGTGCAATCAGCAATGTAGGCGTATGCTAAGGTAACATATAGACCCCTTGCCGCTTTTGCGGTAAATGGGGTGACCGAGACCTCGTTTTCGAGTTAACTGCCTTTGCTTATTTCAGGGGCAGATAAGTAATAGAAAGAGCATCAAAACACGAGTAGCCTCCCGAGTATTAATCAGATTGCCGAGTGTTTTGATGTTTTTTCTCTTCTGTATCATAGTCAAACATAAAAACACGTTCCCTGTTGTCACAATATGAAACCCCGGATGAACGAGCATCTAAATATGATATTTCTGTCGCTTTCATTTTCTCTGCCGTCCCAGCAAAACTGAACCAATCAAGTAGGCATGCTCTGGAGTGCGGGTAAATTATACCTGCACTCCATTTAACACACTGTGCATGGTTACGATTTATCTCTGACAATTTTCAACAAAAAAAACTCCCGAAACTATGATACAAGTGCCTCAGAGTGTATGTCTATTATCATATTTTTTTTGTAATTAAGCCCTATAAGAATACCTCGAAATGTAGTACATTTAATATACAATTAATACTTTAATCTTCATATCTTGTTATGTATTTAATGTAAATTAAAGCAACTGGGGATAGGAGAAAATCTTACACTGATTATATTAAGATAGATAAGTATTTAAACTATATGTATACGATTTAACTCGGTCACATTTTCAACAGAAAGGTCCCCAAACTATGATACAATTTTCAATAAAGGTTAGCAAGACATCTTTTTTTCATGTTTGGAAACTTTGGAGTGTTTGTGCAACATTTCGAGAATTGATCATGAGAAGTTTTTTCTTCTTGTTCTTGATTTTTCTATTATTTCTTTTAAAAAAAAGACATTTATAAAAGAAATTAAGTCTCTTTTTCTAAATGAACAAACAAAAGGAGGACAAAAATATGAAATTCCATCAAATTATGTATTTTGACAAACAAAAAATAATAAAAATAATTATAATTAATAGTAAAGATAAGATATGCCAGAACAATGTATAAGTTATACAAAATAACAAAAAAAAGTTGTTCAAGGGCAGGTAACTCGAAAATGAGGTCGGCAGCTAACAAAATAAATATGTGGTAAATCATAATAATTTACGGAAACGAAAACCTCCGAAAATTAATGAGCCTCAAGTTAGGTTTGGTGTAAAATAAATTATGTTTATAAAAGTTTACAAAAAATAATATATAGAGGATATTTTTATATGTAAATACAGGACTTATTTTCATCGAGTTGTAGATGAAAATATATCCTGTATTTATGGATAAAACTTGAATTTTCTGTTTATTATATACATTTTTATCCTTTCGTTTCCTTACATTTCATGCATGTGAAATACTGCCTTACTGGATAATCATTATCTTAATTAGTAAGCTGAAAAAGATCTACCTTCGTTTTTGTAGTACACTGTTTTTATGACATCTTCACATCCAACGGCTGAAGTGATCATCCCCGGTACACCTTTGCATGTTGTCGTCTGCTTATTATAAAAGAAGCTCGTGCAGTTTTCTGTAGCACTACATTTGGCGGCACACATTGTTAATTTCTTCAAAAGTCCAAATTCCAAACTAGCAAATGGACATAGCTTATCATTTAATGCATGGTCCTTTTTGAAATTCATCAGTTTTGATATACCGACAGTTGGTTGAACTATAGTGAAAAATAGCAACACTTTTATTGCAATAAAATAAACCATTTTCTTTATTTTTCATGAAATAAACTCCTGATCCTTTTAAAAAGATATTAATAGATAAGTTTAATTTGACCTTAGAAAACAACCTGTTGCATGCGTTGAGCACAGCGTATAGTTAAAATGGTTAAAATATTAAATATGTATTTCAAAAGTTATAAATGTTAAAACAGTGTCCTTCTTGCGGCACTTGACACTTCCAAACCTCGTGATCACTCTATGACGTCATGCGTACATACGTATGTAGTTATTACCAATTAAATGCCTCGATCTTTTGTTAAGTTGTAAATAATATAATTATGCCAATAATCAAAGAACTTTCCAATGTAGGGTATAAGTTGCGTCTATTTATAATTCTAGTTAGCGTCATTTAATTCAGAAAATTTCAATTTTTACGATATCGCGTTGATTTTAATGTAATGTAAATTTGTTTGTGCAAATAAATGAAACACAAAAAAGCATATTTCCAGATGACTTTGTTGCAGTCGTATATGTATGCTATATATACATGTATTTACATGTTTTTGTACAGCACTTGTCACTCACCGCTGAAGCAGGAACTTTGGATGATTTCATGTGCGAAAGCTCTCAAGCTAGTTAACATAACTTTGGTGGTTCTCGTACTTGAATAAAATGGGGAACCTGAGGGCTTTCTCCATCTATAGAGGAGCTGTGGGAAGTCGTCATATGATCCTTAATGTGTTAGTGCGACATAAAACCCAACCAAAGAAAAACTTATATAAAGTATATACACTTAAAAAAATGTTACAAAGCCTTTAAATTAGACATGGTATTATAACAATTTAATATGAATTTATTGAATGGATTATAAATTGATTTAACTGGCTTCAAAGTTTTGACAAAGACATGTACAAAGATTGTCTTTGGCGGTATTTTACGCTTGCCCACCATCATTATAACAGGCACATATCATGTAGATGGCCGTTTCAATGTGAAGATGATAACTTCTATTTCCAATAATGACAACGATTCTAGACTACTAGTATTTTACCCTACAATTGAAACATTTGTTAAGATCTGCCTACAAAGGAAGGAATCGCTGGTGGAAATTCCATATCGGCTCCATATGTGCTTTAAAGATCCATAGGTGCAATAAAAATCATCAACATTAATACAGATCACTTCCATAAAGCAATCTTTTTGTTGTTCTTTTCTTTATCATTCTGAAATTAAAACTAATATCCAAAATAGACAGATTTTCACAAGTGGAACTTAAATAACATCATCCATAAAGAAAGAGATAAAGAAAATTCAGCATACTAAAGGTATTGATCATATCTATGGCGGGAAGTCTATGTTCATTATCATCACTTATGCAGAGTTAAAGTGAAGTTTGAGGAAGTGAAAAACGCCCTTGTCACGTGTAACATTAAGTCTACATTTGTACCTACAATTTTTCCACACCTTAGTACAATATTAGTATTTTCCATGGATCGTTGTCGCCAAGCATGCGGCAGGACGTGAAGTGGCTGCAAACTTAGTTTAAGCGAGCGACATATTTGCAAACTTGACAAAATGGCGAGTCATTAATATTTATAACGCAGGTTGGTTACAAAAGGCGAGACATTGATTGGTCGTACCAATAAATGACAACTGACAACTAAATACACCATATAAAACATTTGTAAAAGCAAGAACAATAACACATTTGTATGAAATTGTCAAGAAAATACTTGTGACTAATAAATATGATTTTCGTTGAATCTTTTTGCAGATCTATATTTGATTTAATATAAGATTTCAACCAAAAAATTTTGAAGTACAAGGTTGAAACCAAAATACGCTTCAACAAGATATTTTAGTGTATTGAAACTATCTTTGGAACATAATAATTCAAACGGTAAAAATATTGATAAAAACATATCTTGTCATGTTTGATGAACTAAAAAACTTAAAGGTGAGAATAGATGAATAGAACAACCGACCAAAAAAAGTCATTCGACAAATCTCAAAATATTACATGACCAGTTTGACAACCGAGTATGTTATAAACATTGCCATAATGAATGGGCATATTAAAAAAAAATCAAAATTACATTCAAACCCGCTTACATGAAGAACATATGTGCGAGAGTTATAAATATTCATAACTCGGTAGTCATTTTGTCAAGTTTGCAACCATTTTGCTCGCCTGAACCAAGTGTGCAACCACTTCACGTCTTGCCTTTTGCAAGGAGTACTTTTTTGTTTTGAAAAAAACGTAAGACTATTCACAAAAATCAAACGAAAGCGGAAACGGAATATCGTCTAGCAGAACACGTTACTTCTATGCAGCTCACCCATGTCACTATAATATGTATATCTTATCAATACGTTGAAAACACTTATGACTATGTAACAATAACAAGTTGCTGTCAAAATTATTAATTTAAGTTTATGATTCTTCATTTATACCATTACGTGTATTCATTTGGTTTTGTGCTGATTACTCGATATCGAGAGTCTATAGACTTGTTAATTTCAGTCTTGCTAGTGCTAGCATCAGATAGTTAGCCTAATGATGTAATAGTGATACATGTACGTGTATTTAATTATAAAAACACATTTATTTAACAAATGAACTTTCAGCAAGACTACGAAACCTTAATTGTTCCTTAAAGATTGGCTATTTAATGTTTATCTGGAAGTCATTCGTAGTTTTACAGATGCTGTTCTATATCACCTATGGATCTCTTTAGCACATACAATGTACCAGCGATTTCTTAATCTTGAGCCAAATCTTGATAATTGTTTCAAAAAAGATTTCTTTGAATGTTTAGCATCGTTCGGTGGTAAGACTTCTGTAAACTGTATTTTAAGTCCGTTAAGTGACATTTTCTTCGTACGGAGTGCATGTTTGGGACACACTAGAACCAATTTCGACTAAGACTGCATAAAAATAGGTAAATATAGAGGAAAGTCAGGAGGGTAGAATACATTTTGATTTTTGCAATAAATACTTAAAAGTTGAAAACATACCCTTTGATTGGCCTATTTTCTCATTTCAAATTTTGTGTTAAAGTGCACATCTATATAAAATGTAAGCGGAAATTCACATATACTTTTACCGATGATCCATATGGGGTTCATCTCCGTAGTTATACAGGTTGCTGATGAAATACAAATAATTATAGCCGTTCTAAATCAATTTTACTTAAAAGAAACCAATAAAATGGTATTTGAGAGAGAATGGCTTGTAAAAGAAGGGCGTTGAAGGGCGTTAAAAATCATTAATAAGGTGCTAATTTGAGATAGTTTACATGATTAGCTTTATTCTTATAGAATGCTAATATATCAGTAATTGCATTGCCATTCTATTCATTTCCGTATCGATTTGATTAACATTTAATAATGGAAGCTGGTGTAGCCAATATAATAACGTATATGTAAATATTCTTATTGTATGTTGTTTGTAATTAGTCGGGTGTGATATTGAAATTAAACCGTTTGATGTTTATATAACGAACTTGTTCTAATGATTATTACTATATGTAAATAGACAACAAAGCTGTCTAGAACTGTAACAGGACGTTATAGGGACATCATACCAGGTATTTTACGTCATAGATCTATCTTGTTTTTTTTAATTATCACAAATTAAATACAAATATTTAACATCTTGCTTTTGTCAATTGCATTATGATTATATAGTTATTTATTTAAAAGTTTCAAAATGACATACAAACCCAGTTTCCAGGACAAAAAGCGGACGGGCTTTACTCACTTCGTTTTTCCAGAATAATTATTCAAATTGTAAATAATGACCCAAAATGAAAATCGTTTAAACGCTTTTCACTTAAATGGAACTAAAAAATATAAAAATATGATTTTCAATTTATTGCAAAGTATATTTCTAAGCTATCAATTCATATATTTCTGTTTAAAGTGCCCAAGCTAATTTATGAAATATATTAAATGTTTAAACCTCAGTGGAGTTCCTTTAAACATGCACTTAAATTAAATCTTAGATACAGTTTCATTTGCTAATTAATTTTACAGGAATGTTCGGGCTTATATATTTCAACCAAATGAAACAGAATATTGAAGACAAGGAATGTCGTACTTAAGCGAGAATGAGTACAAGTTTTCATGACACGGTAGCCATTAACCATTCCGCTCGCTTGAGCCAAGTGGGCACTACTAGTCACATCATGTTCTTTGTGTTATTAAACAACGGCTACAAACGATTTCGTCGGTTATGTCGTTGAAGTTTATTTTTGTACACGCAGTACAATTTTATCAAATGTAACATTTCCACTATAATCTCAGCCCGATAAACAGAACGTAAAGTTGCGTTTCGTTGAAAATCCTAAGTCTAAGTCTGAGATAGTTCTGGGTTTCAAACAAAATTTATTACAAAATAACGTACTGCCCCACAGCGTAAAAAAATGATACCGCAGACTTTAAAATTTTGCATTTTTGTCTCTTTGACTTGTTTTAAAATTATCCTAAATCTATGAAAAAAGAATACTTCGATTAAAAAGCATAGAAAAAATAAATTTAAATCTCTGCATTTGACTATTTTGTTTCTTATGAATGAAAATTATTGAAATAAAATCAGAACTTTATTTTAAGCCCTTCAGTCTCGTACATTAAAGGCCCATTCTACCTCACATACACTATCATTTTATTTCTCAAAATCTTTGGTATCTTGTTACAGTTTCAAAAAACAAATAACTTCTTTACCATGTAGATGAACTATCATTTGCTTCTTTTACTCTGTTCGCAATTGATAGAACTATAGTGAATTAGTATTTTGTATGAGAGTGAAAATACTACTTTGTGTACATTTTGCTCCCTTTGTGACACATTATTGCACGTTCAGCGCTACTTTCTTCAGTTATTAAATATTTAACATGCTCTCAATCCATTATTAAAAAACATTTTAAATAAATGTTTGACATTTCGGAAGAATCAAAAATACAGATTTCTGAGACATAATGTACCTTTAAAGTATGAGCGCTCTATCGATTGAGCTGTTGCTGCAATCATTAGCCAATTTTACAGTTATCAATTAGATCGTATATCAAACCGGATGTGAAACATCTTATCTACCTCTATAACTTAAAATAGAATATCCTTTACTATCATTAAATGAAAACAAAAACTTCTGTTTATCAAGACACAATTATACTAGGGTAGTCCATCTTCGGCCTCTCAAAATGAAACACTGTCACATACACGATGACTGGTTAGATGTCCGCGCAGTCTATGCTGTTCGCTTACAACCCCTATAACAAGCAGAGAAACTGATGACCAGCATGGATCCTGATCAGACTGCGCGGATGCGGACCATGCTGGTCGAAAACCCATTATGTTGGTTTTGTCATGACGCGGCTCAAATAATATTTGGGGATTTCAGATACTGCTATACATACAAATGGTGTGAAAATTGTATTGCATTTATTTCAAACCAGTGTATTGAAACCATGCCAGGCACATGATAAGAAAGGTTATATTGTCTATTTGAAGAGCACATACTATGTAACCGAGTTGAATGCAATATTTAAATTTCTGTAAGACTGAACAAAAAAAGAAACTTCCCCCTGTGTTTAAGTTAAGATATAGTGTAATTAAAAAAATCAAAATGCCTTTTTGAGCTACAAATATTAAGACGAACGATTATATTGCCGATAAAACAAATTTGTACTGTCTCGATTTTTAAATGTTTTGAAACCAGCTGACCGCGATTTTCACGTGCATGCACAGACCAGTAGATTCGTGTATATTTTATGAAACTTTTCATTGTAATAGACAATAAAATAGCGTCCTTTTCTTTGACGAGTCTATTCTTTCTATTCATCGAGCCGATGTTTTTAGCTCACCTGTCACAAAGTGACAAGGTGAGCTTAAATTATCGCTTTTCGTCCCGCCATACGTCGTCCGTAAACTTACTTTAAAACTTAATAACATCAGGTTTAATATTCAGATTTTATATCTTTTGTTGATAGCTTAAAGTTTACTTGCTTACAGTATTACTTGTTCTTTATCATTGGTTAGGTGAGCGATTTCATTAAAAATACGAGTACTGCGAGATAAAAATCGGGTGCAACGCGTATACTGAACGTTGGTACCGGTAAGAAATAATTTGTAACTTTACATATAAACTGCAAATTTGTGCTTAAATATCTCATAAACATGTATTTACTTTATTTGTAGTGAATTTCCGTTTTTCGCTTAAGACATCGCATGAGTGTTTCCGACAAGAAAAAGAAACAGGGATCCTGTGTTAGGAAGATTTACCGACAATAAATATTTTTAGAAGGAGCTGTAGTAAGAACATGGAAATAATTTTTCTATTTGAATAACTTTAAGAGTAGCACAGAAGCCAAATTGGTTTAAATTAGACAACACTTAAGCAAGTGATATGTTAATGAACTGACTATTTATCTCGGCATAGAGAATCTTTGAGGAATTCATTATTTAATATGTACAGAAATGACTGCTTGATGGCATTCTTAAATTTTTCCGAAACGAATTCTTTTCTTTTAACTACTGAATCCTCGATAATTACGTTATCTACGCCGACAAAACTTATTTAAAGATGTGTTTGTTCAGCACATTTTAAATAACGTACAGAAATCAAATTTTAATTATTTTCTCCAATAATCTCAAATGAATTATTTTACTGTAAATGATGCAAATCAACCAACGTTTTTAAAAAATCAAAATTGTCTATTTCAAACCACTAGTTTATAAGCTGGAAACCAGACAATGGTGTTGTAAATGAATCCAGATTACATATTTCATATTCTTTGTCGATTGGTTTGAAGAAGAGGCTATTCATAAGTTCTTTGTTGTATACATCTTATTGGATTAAGAAATTATCAGACACTTGGGCATTACGACATTGTAAACTTAAGTCGGGAGTATACGTTAGGTCTAGAGGTAGTAGATACTGGTTATTATAAAAACCGAGTTGCCAAAGTCTAGGAAATTACAGGAGTATTCAGAGTCTAGAGGCGTTGATAAATCATTATCGCTTCTGTATACAAAAGCAATCGCTTAAACAAGACAAAACAAACAACAAATGGTTTTAGTAGCTTTATCGAATATTTTATTCTATCATCCCATTACACCAAATATTCAACGATATAATAAATATAGTTTAATATCATTTTCTCTTAAGCCACTTCGACGAAATACGACCTAAAGATCTGAAAAATAGTCGACAATGATATAAGTAAATACGTTAATCTTTTCTTTTTTATAAAAAAGCACTTAAGTATACTCAGATGATATTATAATTCTGAATTGTTTCAGTTGAAACACGTTGTCGAAATATCTAATTTACATTTTTTAAATATTTATGACAATGGCCTAGTTCGGAAATGATTGCAACACTCTCACTAAAATGCTTTATTATCAATTAAACATGACAATTCTCATATAGCAAGGAAATACTATCGCTGTCAGCTTGGCAGACAAGAAACATGACAAAAATCTGCAATTATCGGATGAGAACCAATATGCAAGTTTTACAATTGCTTACCTTACTACATTTGTATCGAAAAAACCCAATCTTCTAAGAGCCTCTGTAAATACTTTCCAGTCTTCATCAGCTAAAAGTATAATAATTTACAAGACAGTTGTGATATGCATTAAAAGTGCAATGACATTCGGTTAAGGTATAACTGGCGACAACTCGCATGCGAGGTAGACAATAACCGTATAGGATGTAGTTAGAGAAGGGAATACAGTCTATTAAACTGAAAACCCAACCACTGTGCTCGACACATGTCTTATACATTTGTGCCAAATACTTTCAAATCCGCCCGGGAATATCATCTGTTGAGCAGACAACCAACAATGTACTTTTTCATAAAGGAATTTTAGTTATGACTGGACTACAACTGTCTACAAGTGTGACCTTGACCTTGAAGGTAAGGACACGATTCATGCGCGCGACACATCGTCATTATGTCGAATACATAAATGCGTTTTAATTTCTTTATCCATCCGAGAATGACAGAACTGTTGACCGGACATGGATCAGTGTACTTTTATAAAACTCATCATTATTATATCTACAAGTGTGACCTTGAACTTTGAGTTGGGAACACGATTTTTGCATGCGACAGTCATCATTATGTGTAACACATTCAGATTCTCGGGTCAATATGATATGTTAACTGCTAATATTGTACTTGTTTTTTCCATAAAAAGAATTATCTGCCTGACAATCGAATTTTGTATGCAAGTAGCATCATATCTAAAATTGTATTATATAGTAATTATGTTACATGTTGGACTAAAGTAACCTAATTATCATTTAAATAAAGTAAAAGGAAAATTAAAATAGCACTATTAAAGCGGCCAAACACTGAAACAAACTTACTCAAGTATTTTTGTAGCACACTTTCTAAGTCCCCGATGTTCATGGTAGACAGAAAATTTTCGTAGTCCTTGTAGCCTTCAACAGTTTCTTTTACTATGTCCCCTACTAGATCACATAGCATCCAAAAACCTTGTGTATTCTCAAAAGTGGCATTATGCCAAGGTAAGTTATTGTCGATATATCTATATAGGAAATCTGCTACTTTAGGACAAATGTGCATTTGCTCGGTCATCTCGAACCTAAAAATAGACAGCTTATAAGTTGCAAAAGGTTAATAACAATATATGTGACATATACAAATTCATATTGTATATGAAATGATCATACTATAATAGAAATGAGTACGTACGTTTAGGTATTATGTTTAAAGTCCAAGAGCATAGAAAAACAATAAATAATAATACCAGTATGTGTATACGATAATCATTTTCATTAATTTTATGTCGAGGTAATGCTGAAAATAGTGGCGCGACATTATAAAAACTTTATTTAGCATCTTGAAAGCTATTTTCATATTTGTATCCGTTTTTATGAAGGCAAGGACAGTTATTTTGTCAACCAACAATGCTAATGATATGACAATACCAGAACCACTGAGTAATATCACAATCCCTGTGGTGTTTTTCAACCTCTTACAACATCTATTTTTACCATTTCTATATAATTTGGGCTAAATCTTTATTTTGATAAATAAAAATGATAAGGTTATTTGAAAATGGATAATTTTTTCAATTTCATGAGATAAATATAGACCACTTTCAAACTGTATACTTACTCATTTTTAAACATCATGACTATTTTCCTGTGGTTCTCAATAATTTCATACGAAACCGGACACCAGATATCCCACAAAGACATTCGCACGGATTCCTTTAGCATATTCTCCCTGTCTTGTGGGTACATATCTTCCATATCAAAGTACCCTCTGAGGTTATCATACAGTCTGTGTGATGTAAAAGCAACGTCTGAAAGGGAAAGAATCTGAATGAAGGTATATTGCCTGAAACATGTACTGAAGAAAACTAGACAATTAAATTCAAAGAAAGGAATTATGAATTTGAAATACTCGTATATTGTTTGCGAATTTAACATTCTCGCGCATATTGTAAATGTTTTAAAGTCCTTAAACTGAAAAATTATATTTCAGAGAGACATTCCCTGAAGTCCAAAAAACGGGCTCTTGTAAATAACAAACTTATTTGCAATAAACAATGTCAAGCCTGCTGGTCCTTAACCTGCTGAATTTTCATAAATGGACTTTTCCAATTTCCATTTTGTAACAGTCCATTATCAGTTTTAGTGAATAACAAGGTGAAAATTTGAAGTTGGCTAGCCATCAGAGCCTGGTCAGACTGCACGGATGTACTGTATACTGGTGGCAAAGACAAACCACTTTCTCCTTCAGCAGGGTAAATTTTTAATGCAATGCTTACCACGTAATCCGAATGTAAAGAGCAGTTCTATTGATTGGTCGAACAGATATCCGTGCAGCTCATCAACGCCTTGGTTTGCAATGTCTTGTACATATGGTTGTAGTTGAGAGTCGAGTTGCGGCAAGATGTCCATGAACATCTTGTACCAAGAGCTATCCTCATTGTTCGTGTAATGTTCTCGTATATTCATCAAGGCTTCTACAATAGTGATAAATGACATGTACTCTTTTTTGACATAACAGATTTTAAATAGATCCTAAACACATGAGAGTACCTGATATAACATCACACGATGTTATTAAGAGTTCTTATGATAACTGTGACGGAGTTCGTCGGAAAACATTTGTATATACTACATAAACACTCCTCAAAAATGGTAGTTTTCATCTTTAAAAGTGAGTTTTAGGTTCTTGTTATCATACGAACTTCATCCTTAGTATAACAGTTTCTCCCCAAAACCAAACAAAAAAACTTATGAAATAGTGTACCTTGTACATAAGTTTTAAATAAAAACGCAAATCTTGTCTTTTGTTTAAGTTGGCGAATTCAGAAATCTTAATAATATTGGTTTTTGTTCTATTGCAAGATAAATACTTCTTAATATAATGTAATGAAGTCCTAAAAAAACAATATTGTATATGTTATAAATAGATCCGATGAAACTTAGAAATCTAGTATGAAACGTGAAAAACGTGCATCTTATACGTCGTTCCGATTTAAAAGGGGTTTATAGCTTAAGAAAAATAATTAAATGGTCCGATGAGGGATTTAAAACGGCGATGATAATTTTTGCTTTAAAAATAGAGAATTTAAATTTTAAAAATTTGGGGAAAAATCGCCCACTTTTGCTGGACATCTCTTTCCCTTCCCGTTTAAAATTTGGGGTTTCATAAAACTTTCCCTTGTAGCGTAAAAAGGGCCCAACCTGGGTATCTTTAAAACACGTACACTTTACGCCATTCACTCATTAAGTCCTTTATGTCGCATTCTGGAAACTGGAAAAAATCTGGAAAAATCGTGATTTTTAAATACGCTTTAACTATAAATCTATGGCGGCAACTAATATTTTCCATGCGTGTATTACAGAACAAGATCAATCGGCACATCCGGACAGTCTGATCATGGTGTGTACTGTTCGTGTACTGTTCAGCCAGTACTTACTGAAGGTTTACCCAAATCAGAATAAAAGTACATACATATTGAGGATTAAAAAATCCTTATTTTTGAACGTTCTGTCGGAACAAATTAATTTCATCAACATTGTATTGCCGTTATGTTCAAAAATGGAATTACATATTTAGGTTTTCATGTAGTAAATAGCATACACCTTAAGCATTTTATTCATTTTAATGCATAGAGACCTGGTAACTTATTAGGTATTCGTTTAACACAAAAGCTGGATTGTTACTATATCTGTTTTGCTTTATATCAAACACCAAATACAAGTTCGTACCTTTCATGTCAACAGAGTCCATGTCATTTTCCATCATATAGGATACGTAATCTTTAAGTAAGTCTATAAGGTAGTTACTTCCAGGAAACATAAAAGCATGTTGTATCTCGTAAAGATCATCTTCCATTGGACCACGTGATGGTGGAATATTTGTCTCATTGATCATCCGTTTGTTGTTGACCTTTGAACTCCTCAAATTTGACGTAATCATGTTGGGGAGCCGCGGACCTCTACAGTGTACTGGAATAATATGTAAACGTTTTGATTTATATATATATATATGAGCCGCGTCACGACAAAACCAACATAGTGTGTTTGTGATCAGCATGAATCCAGACCAGCCTGCGCATTCGCGCAGTCTGATCAGGATCCATGCTGTTCGCTTAAAAACCATTCTGTTTTCGAAAGTTTTAGCCTTAAAAACAAGAACTATCGGAGGACTGTAACGCTCGACTATTCGAAAAGTTGTCACTAGGGTGTTTCATTGAGTAAAATAATGCTTACTTGTATGAATACATAAAATTGTCCGAAATGGCACAAACCTTTTAGTAGTTATGGAGATGCCAGCTTACAAGCAAAAATTTACATAGAATTTCTAAGTAGAAAAAGGGGCATAATTATGCAAAAAAGTAAATCAGAGTTATGGATCCATTCCCTTAAGTAGTTATCGAGATACCAGCTTACACGCAAAAACTTAACCAAAAATTTCTAAGTAGAAAAAGGGCATAATTATGTAAAAATGCAAATCAGAGTTATGGGACTTGTGCCAATAATCTAAGATAATAACAGAGAACAAGTGTGTAAAGTCTATTCTGCGAATAGTCGAGCTAATAAGTATGACAAGGTCTACCATCTAACACGTAAATAAGGTTAATCCGAATCTTATTACGTTTTTAATCCGAATCTTATTACGTTTTTAAAGAATTATTTTACTTACGCTAGAATTTCCCCACATTATTGATCTTTTAGGGAGTTCTTTTAACGTTGTCAAAATAGTGGAAAACATGTTTTCATGTTCAACCAAGAGCCCGGTTTGAGCCGGGTGATGCTCCCTGAATAGGTTTTGGACACAGAAAAGTACACCTCTTGTAGTTTCAGAGTAATGTCCCTGGAAAATGTTCAAAGTGCAATAATTCCAAAATTAGGCAAGGCAGAGTTACGTTACTGTTCTTTGCACTGCACTTTTAATCAATGTGATCTATCAACCTACAAAGTTTCTTGATGATATCTCTTATGATTTCCGAGTTATGTCCCAGACAACTTCAAAAAGTAAAAATAAATAAAGGGCAATAACTCCAGAATTAGGCAAGGCAAAGTTATGATTCTTGATCACTGCACATCTAGCCATTGAGATATATCTACCTACAAAGTTTCATGTTGATTTCTCTTATAGTTTTACAGCTATGTCCTGGACAAGATTTTTCTAAAAGGGGAGATAATTCAAAAATGAGGCTTAAAAGAGTTATGGTTCTTTTGCACTGCACCTCTACTCAATGAGATCTATCCGAGTTATGTTCCGGACAAAATTCAAAGTGTTAAAATAAACAAAGGGCAATAACTCCAAAATTAGGACAAAAAGAGTTATTGCTCTTATGCACTGCACATCTACCCATTGAGATCTATTCCCCTACAAAGTTTCATGTTGATATCTCTAATAATTTTAGAATTATACCCCGGACAAGATTTTTTTATAAGGGAAGATAATTCAAAAACCGGGCAAAAAAGAGTTATGATTCTTTGACTGCATTCCCCCTCAATGCTCTCTACCACTGTATGAGCTTCAACAAATTATCGCCAAGGGTTTTCAAGTTATGCTCCGGACAAGACAACGGACGGACGGACGGACAGGACAGAGGGACAAGGCGCCGACTATATGCTCCCCCGAATTTTTTCCCAAGGCTTTGCAAATTCAATTAAACCGTTCGATGATAGTTCAAAAAGTAATAGGACTTAGACTCATGTGTCTTCATGTTCGATTAAATTTAGAATAATTTCATATATCGCAAAATGTTTTCTACAATTTGAGCGAGCATAAGTTAATTAAGTTATTGCGCAAGTATTCCCGGTGATGTTGAATAACTATGATAACACGCAGGACATGATCTCAAAAAGTTTTTGAAGCCAAATTCTTCTTCTAGTTTATTTACAATTTATTTGTTGTTTTTTTCTTCTCAATATATTCTACCAATACTAATGATAAAACTTAAACCAGCTAAGCAATGAACAGATGAACAGATGAATATGAGCCGCGTCACGTCAAAATCAACTCTACGCATGGATCCAGACCAGCCTCCGCATCCGCGCACTCTGATCAGGATCCATGCTGTTCGCTTACAAACTTTAGTACAACTAGAGAAACTGATAGCGGACAGCATGGATCCTGATCAGACTGCGCGGATGCATTACGTTGGTTTTGTCGTGACGCGGCTCATAAAATAATGCACAAATAACAGCGGCAGGTCTCTGAACTATTAAAAATACAAATTTACTCACCTAGGCACACAAAACTCAGCAACAAGATCACGATGAGGGTCTTCATTGTGAATATATGATGTCCAATGATGTTCCTGTCTGGTCTAAAAGCCTACAAATTTAACGTGTCCAAAACCTTGCTTTATATAGCACGTATAGTACACAGCAGTATTGTTTGAGGCCCTTCTGTCGGGTATATAATGAAGTAAATATATTCAAGATTTTATAAAACAGATTTAACACAGTCTCTGAGAGAGAAAACAACAACAACAACAACAACAACAAAACAAAAACTAGAAACGCATCTTGGCGGGGTTATGTTGTATTGTTACTGTTAGGTATAAATACATTTTTTTCTTTAGAAATTAAATGCCCGATATTTAACAAAATGTTGTTTAAGTGACTATAAAAACTTTGTATTCTAAATGGATAATTGAATACAGTTTCAAAAGATAGATGATTTAAGTCGTCAACTGTATGAAATGTTATCTTCATTAAAAAACAGCTAATGACATGTAAGTAATCATTATCTATTTACATAAATATCTCCATGTTCATGATATCGTTTTCAATGTTTCGCAAAATCGGTATTGTTGTCTTTATAAATGCGGAAGGCTTCGGTGAATAATGCAGCACGAACCAATCAATTATCTGATTAACAGGACAGACAAAATGCATGTTTTAATACTTCAAGGATTAATTCGACCACTGCTTAACTCGTAAATGTTAAACGAATTGTATACCACTGCTAAACTCGTTAATGTCTAGCGTGTTGTATACCACTGCTAAACTTGTAGATAACTAGCATGTTGTATACCACTGTTAAACTCGTAGATGTTTAGCGAATTGTATATCACTGCTAAACTCTTAAATGTCTAGCGTGTTGTATACCATTGCTAAACTCGTAAATATTAAGCGTGTTGTTATGTACGAACCTAAAATGAATTAAGAAAAAGATTTGATGTTGACGTTATTGCTTAATCAATGTTAAAATTAAAAATGAATTTTGTTTGGAATATCAAATTTAAATAATAAAAGAAGGTGAACATAGATGACTTAAAGTTGAAAAATAATCTACATTATATGGGCCTCATAATATTAACATGTACATATTTAAGCACACGCACGAGTTTTTCGAGCTAAACAGGGCAGTAACTTTAATTAGATACACGGCGGGATTTAAAGGTGTATTCTTCAGTTTTAAAATGTTCCACATAGCTAATAAAGTAGTGTAAGTTTCTGGTAGTCAATGGTTTAATAAACTACTTCCAATGATTTCAAAGAAGAGTTCATCTTAAATATAATATAAACAAGAAATAGATAGTGAAAGTGCAGACAACTGCCTCGAACTTTTAGCCAAGTTTTTCAGTGTTAACTTCCCTTGAAAACGTGATGGTTATATTGAGATTAGTATCATACATCAACTTATATGACATTGATATTACCAAGCCTTGAATCAGAATGTCACGTCTCAGCACCTCGCATGCTGTCATGGACGTCTTTAAATGATTCATCTAAAAGTCATATATCCTAACTCCTCTTAGACATTTATTGTTTGATGATGATTTTCCCGGCCTTCATCACATAAATGCTGTTTTAAAGAAGAAGAAGAAGAAGAAGAAGAAGAAGAAGAAGAAGAAGAAGAAGAAGAAAAAAAGCAGAAGCATAAGACAGTTAATGCCAGTTAATGCCAGATATTTATTTCAAATATTCTTCATATTTACCAACAGCCGAGTGAGGCAATAGGTCCCACTCGTTTACGAACGCCCCTTTATTCATGTTAAATGTAGAATACAGCATTGCTATATATGGAAAATGAAAAACCTAATTTGTATTTTTTCTGAATATACAAAAATGTTTAAAAAAAACCCCAAACAACAGGTCATTACCTTTTTCTAAACTGGTTACCGCAACATGAAACAATTATCACGAGAAAGTCGTGCAGAAACGGAATACACCCAACCATCTGACGAAAACGGCCTTTGATATATAGAATCTTACATGTTTTGCCTTTTGCTACAATTATGAATTTCAAAACAAGTTCATGAAATGTTTAAAAGCTCGCCAGAGCCAAAACGTTGTTTGACCATTATTAATAATATCCATGATTGTTTATCATGCGAAAAGGGTTGTGATAGTTTGAAAGCATCTATAACAATTGTCCTAGATGAATTGCATGAAAGTTTAAATGTTTATTTCTCTCACATAGCTAAATTTAAATTAAACAAGCAGACGATTTACAACTTAACACCCCAGTTACACAGAGCCATCGGTGATTGATCGGTAGTTTTTTTAGCCAAATTATGGAGTGAACCGATGACAACTTATTGATCACCGATATCACCTATTGGTCACCCATTTTCCACCTATCAACTGCTATTGGGGAAAGATAAGTTTCATCGGTGAAAAATTACCGATTGGGATTTTTAAACACGTTTAAAATTCTCGATCGGTGAAAATATTTTAAAAATTACCGACGGCAACCTATATCACGAGATATGCAAGCTTTTAATCACCGATATCACCGATCGGACAAAGATAACCAAATATGAATCACCGACCATATCTGACGGAAAGTGTTTAACCACTGATGACTAGCTATCAAACACCGATTAATCAGCGTTACGCCCGATTTAGCTCCCATTTACAAACAATAAAAACCAAAAGTATTTCAGCATCTCATCATCGACTCATTCCCGTTTGAGTTTGCTTTCTATCACCGATGGCCGTTTACACAGAAAACCTGAAATAAAATCACGCATGACAACCGATCATAACAGCGAGTAAATTTAAAATTAAATGACCGATTGGGGACCGACTGTCTGTGTAACTGGGCCCTTAACATAGAACGAAAATGCCGTTATATTGCACGTGTTACGTAATGAGGTTATTGTACATTGTTGAGTACAATATCTGAATTGTTAACACCTATCAAACTAACATTACACGACTGGTACATGTTTAGCAGTTTCAGTTTCAGTTTCAGTTTTTATTTGGCAAATCGGCATATTTAACATACCGTAGGCCAATTTAACAAATACATTTGACGAATATGGCCAAGACATATAACATACATAGTTTACAGGATAAGCATATAAACATATAAGCAAACATGTACATGTTCAAAGTTTGAGAAGCAGCTTCTGTTTCTAGACATATGTTCCTTAACTGAAAAGCCTCATATATGTATTTTGCAGTTTTATACAGCTTACATTTTCTACCTCAAGACACGATATTAACAAATTTCTGTACATTGGGCCATGAACAATTACCCAAATATTTAGCTCTCAAATCAACATATGCAGGACAAGTTAATAAAAAGTGATATTCTGATTCAATCATTTTTGTATTACACATTTTACAGATTCGCTCGTCTCTTTGTGAACCACTAAATCTTCCGAATTCAATTTCTAGCTTGTGAGAACACATTCTGAAACATGTTAAACATTTTCGTAATTTATCATTTCTTATAATGCTCAGATATCTTTCATAACCAAAACATATTTTATACTTTCTATAGTAATCTAATTTAGACATATTCAATGTTGTCTCATTCCAAGATTGTATAAACTGATCTCTAATACGTTGTTTCATAGCAGGAAAATAATTTACATTTTGCCTAAAATTCACTAGAAGATTACTGTAGCCTAAATTGTCAATCAGTTGTTTAATCTTATACGCCCAGCAATTCACATTATTTCCATTGCTATGATCTAAATATAATCTATACATAGGTGAATCCTGATTTTTCATTATTTTTAACCAATATTTAATAGCTCTTTCTTTACAAATAACAGAAAGTGGGTACCTACCCAGTTCACCAAGAACAGCTAAATTAGGAGTTTGTTGTTTAACACCCAAAACAAGTTTACAAAATTTTATATGTATTTTATCTACTTCAGGAAATTCATAAATACCCCATACTTCAGAGCTATAGAGAATAATTGGTACAACCAAAGAATCAAAAAGTGCAAGCTTCATTTTTATATCAAAATTTACTTTATCAAAAAGAGACAAAAGTGAATTATATGCTTTAAGAGCTTGATCTGACAATGCTTTAACAGACTTTTTCATGTTTCCTGTATAAGTAAAATTTACACCAAGATAAGTAAAATTATCTACTACCTCAATTTCTTCATCATTAATTTTCCACACAAAATTATTTACTTGTCTTCTTTTCTCAAAAATACATATCTTTGTTTTATTAACATTTATTTTAAGGCCCCATTTAATAGAATAGTTATTAACAACATCTAACTGAGCTTGCAAAGATTCAGGGTTAGTTGTGAATAAAGCAATATCATCAGCAAAAAGAAGCATATACATATTTAACTGATTTAGGTCATTTTCAGTTAATAGGTTAAAATCAATATTTTCATTAATGTCATTAACGAAAAGAATAAATAATAATGGCGAGAGTGGTTCCCCTTGTTTTAAACCTATAGACACGTCAAAAAACTCTGAAAAATTCATAGCAGACACTTGTACACAAGATTTAACATTTGCATATATAGACTTAACAATATTAACCATTTTACAGCTGACACCTTGTTTTAAAAGCTTTACCCATAAGGCATCTCTAACAACTGTGTCGAACGCTTTTTCATAGTCAATGAATGCACAATACAATTTCGATTTATTAGTCAACACTTTTTGAATGATGGAATGAAGTAAAAATATACAGTCAGCGGTAGAATGACTATCTCTAAAACCAAATTGTGTTTCATTTAATACATGATTTTGCTCACACCATTTATTCAATCTATTTCTAAGCAATAAAGAAAATATTTTACCTATAACATTCACAAGGGTAATACCTCGGTAATTAGAAGGATTTGTTACATCGCCTTTTTTGTGAATTGGTACAATTATACCCTTACACCAAGCTTCTGGGTATAAACCAGAATCATAAATTTTATTAAAAATAGAAACAAGGTATGGGGAGATAAAACTATTAGAATCGATGAAAAAATCAGCTACATTCCTGTCATAATCGCAACTTTTGCCCCTATTCATAGATGCAATTGTTTTTGTAACCTCTTCAATATCAAAAGGACGATCAAGCTCATCAATGTTTACCTCCTCATACCTCACTTCATGTACATCGTCAAATGAAAAGTCATTTTGCATTGTATTAGAAATATTCTTAAAATGTTCTACGAAATCATTTG